CTCGTCCCGGTTATTACTGGAGTACCCCCCAAAGGATCACACCGATAATCAACGCATGGCACGAAATCGCGAGAGAACTTGGCTAAGGATTCTACTATGGGAACGGGCGAACAGTGCAGCCTGCGGTAGAATTCACACATTCCCGGAAACGGACTTGACACAAAGTGTTGATAGCTGGTGGCTTCATCATCTGGCGGACCCTACAGACAAGCACACATGTGCATTTATCACCTTGCGGCGCATTCTAGCATCACTACAAAATGAACTAAGAAATCAAGCTCATTTGACACACGTTGATCCCCATTGGGTACGAGAAATGGTTGATACAACTCTGAGGCCGTGGTGTGACCTTTGGCTGTCACATCCAATGCCCGATTTAATCACATCGCCGTCTGAAAAGTTGTCCAATATTTTCCTCCATTATGTTTATCTCCACGGAAGGCTTTGGACCTTGTCGTTTGCCCTTCACGGTTCCATAAACTGGGACCAAAATATGGATGCAATCCGACTGGATTGCTTTGAGGCTGCAGTCAATTCTTGCGAGGTCGCCGTGCGCGATTTGCATAATATTGGGGAGCCATTATATTGCATGTTGGCTCCAACTTGGGCTATGATATCATACGCCGGCGTGTTGGCTTTGAAGCTATTTCCCACCGTGTATGGATCCCGCGCCGGAAATGACGTGGAACTTCTTGCTTTACTCAGCCAAGTTGCCATTCAATTAGAACGTGCAGGAACAACTCCATCGCATCGATTTGGAATCGCAGCGTTACTTGGACAACACCTCATGATGATACTGAGAGCCAGAGCGGCGGGACTGAAAGCCCGAAGTCAACTTCGCCAGACCAGAACGGATGCATCGTACATCAGTACAGACTTTGATAACGAAGCGAGTCAATTTATGCCACAGAAGTCCCCCCATTCGAAGCCATACGAGGCTTTCATCTCGGATTACGATCCTTTCCTAACTACAGCTTCAATTTCTACCCCGGGGGATCTAAATGATGAGGGGTTTGCTGACTTCTTCCGGGAAATGTTCGGACCTGGATTTGGGGCCGTCTTTTGACAAATTTGGCAAATAGAAATCTGAAAAGCATAGCTATTGTTTATGCATTTTTAGTGTCCAATGACTGGGAATAATCTACTGCTTTCATAAACCATATATTTCCCAGTCAGGTTAGCATTGATTTTACAATAGCTTCTATGAACTAAATGGGAAAAGTCTGCATGAAGGGTCAATGGCACATTCTTAGTGATCTTATAAGTGAAAGAAAGAGAAGAAAATATGATTCTTTGCGGGATTCCTACCATCCCAATGAATATATTATGTGGGTTACAGTGACTGTTTCAGATCACTGAGTATCAACCTACAAGTTACTTCTGCGAACTTTCCCTTGAAGCACCTTATTCACAAAGGCGGGATCTTCTCGGAGAGGTCGACCTAGACCACACATGTCGATGTCTCCACGTTCCACAGCCTCCGCCATACGATGGCTATCACGCCAGCCACCGGTAGTTCCAATCACAGCCCGAGACTGGTGATTTGTCAATCAGCTTATTTGATCACAAGTCGCAGAAAACAGGCAATATACTCACCAGTACTTTCTTCAACTCCTGCGCCCACTCAATGAAGTAACTTCGCATAGTCAGCATATGGACACAGCGAAGCAATTGAAATTATTTACCTTCCACGCTGTTTCTGGGATGGACGCTCTGCAAGTTCAGTCATGATGTTGCCACGCCATGCAGGAGAGGCATATGTTCCCCCCGAGATATCAAAAAAGTCCACACCGGCATCTTCTAGCCATTTTATCACAACGCATTGTTCAGCAAAGCTTTGGCCTCCCTCGATGACTACATATATCTTCCCATTAGACTTTTCTTCAAAATATGGGATGAAAATACTAACAATCTTGGCAGTTCAACTTCGCTGCTATCACAAACTTGTCCGATGGAAGTTTAGCCTTGATCGCGTTGACGATCTCCAAAATAAAGCGTGCCCGATTTTCAAGGCTTCCGCCATACTGTAAAGTTTAGTAAATATTAGCATTGATTGCAAGGGGGAAAGAAATTTAACATTCATACCTCGTCTGTTCGCTTGTTGATTTTGGGCGACAGGAACTGATTCATGATATATCCGTGGCTGGCATGCAGCTACCAACACCGCTTATTTAGCTTTTCATAACAAGGCAGGAATAGATTCAAACACTCACAATGATACCATCCGCACCAGCCTTTGCAAGGACCTCAGAAGCCCACACGTATCGCGAAATGAGATCCTTGATTTCAGCCTTCGTCAACGGCGAGGGCTTGCCATACGTCTTGTTGAGACAAGGTTCAAGCTGCTGATCAGATGATGACTTGGGATTTTTGTTCAGGAATTCCGGAACCTGACGTCCTGGAAATTGTAACTGAGGGAGGAATATTGCACCCCGAGATTTGGCTGCTTTGGCCGCGGGAGTAAAAGCTGCGACCGGATCCCAGGGATTGTTGGGATCCAACACCGCATTGTTGTAATTTTCGAGATTGTCGCGATGGATGGGGATGTTTCCAGTGCAAATAAGCCCCGCGCCTCCATCGGCTAGCTCTGTGTACTCGTTAGCACTAGTCCTATTGGTAGGATAGTCCCGATCATACCTTGATATAGCTCTGCATATCGGTCCATGGGCTTGCCGCAGTTCTCCACGTTGTTCTCGTCATACGTTGAAGCATATTCGCTGAGAGGTGTGCGATATAAACGATTGCGGATTACCTTCCCAGAGAGTTTCAACGTAATGGGCTAGTTGTTTGTTGTTAGAAAGTCTTATCGAGGGTTTGGTTTAAACGGAGAAGCATACCTGAGCGAGAGGGGAGATGTGCGATGCAGACATGGTGATACAGACCCAGCGACAAAGTAAAAAGTGTTTAGGAGAAATTTAAGTTCTCTCGCTGGGACATAATGCGCCTTTATTCCGCTCTATGCCTTGTAGCATCTAGTAATATCCTCACCTAGTTAACCGGGCTATTTATTTGTCACCCGGTCAATCACAACTGCGGGGAAACAGTCGCACTAATGATCGGAATTAGGCCCGAAACCAGAGGTAAATTTTGCTACTACTAGTCAAAATCTTCAAGTGACATGTATATTTTGTTTTGTTCCTTTGATACCCCAGGGTTCAAACCCCTTCTTAAGAAGCATTTTGATCCCTGAATGCCTTCATTAGCACCGCTCTTTATACCGCTCTATGCAGTGTAATATAAATGATCCATGTATTAAATGAAGCTTTGGGCACCATACAAATTCATGCATCTCAATTTTTGGAGGTGGCTGGCAAGCTCTCTCTCCGAACCAGACCTCGGGAGTACTTCGATTATTAAGGCATATGTACTCCGTACAGCGACTGGGCATAAGTTTTGCACCCTTAGCCACTCCATGATTAATTCTAACATATTGCCGGTCAAAAACTCCATGAATTCATACTATGAAATCTATACTAGTATACTGCACGTTTTAGGTAGGCGGTATAGGCTTATAGTGGCGGTGAGCTATGTGGGAGTGCTAATAGAATTTTTCTGCTGTCCTAAAATAAGGCATCTAGGCATCAACTCCTTCCTAAAGGGCTAACTATATCTCGAAGGAATCGATGACACCCGCAGCCATCTCCACTTGCGCACACTTCATGATATGCATACTTGTTTTACGCTAGGGGAGGAGAAAATAATAGAAGGAAGAATGAGTAGGTGAGTATTCAATGAAAGTCTCAACACTAAAAATCCAATTCAAATCTTCGAAGCCTTCGGACCACTTTGCCCCTGATTTACAACTTCCCAGATAGCCGAAATCGCATCTTCCACTCCTTGTTTATTGACATCCTTCTCTAACCAGAGAATATGTTGTGCTATGCAAACACGCACTAGAACCTCGGTCCCTGGGATGGCTGCCCAGCCATTTTGCTGTCCATTTGTGTACAAATATGTCACTGGCGATGGGAGATAGCACATATCTACCACGATGCCTTTGTTCTTCCTGCGCAAAATGATGTCGAAGATTTGACGGCAAATAATTTCACCAGGTTCTTTTGGTGTATCATTTGGAATTGTCCCGATGACAATATAAGGAGCCTTGCAGGTTGCAGCTTCCTCAACAGTAGCGAGATGTTGGAGTGTCATATCCGGTGCCGTCGATTGAAAGAAGGTGATCAATGCGTCTACTTCGGCTTTTAGACGGTTGGCAATATAGATCTCTGTGGACCCAAACCATTTCCAGAGGGCAAAAATTGCGCTCCTCGCAGCGCCTCCACCACCAATCACCATCGACGGGCGGCCTTTGGCCATGGCAGCCGCTTGCGGCATTCGGTAGAGAATAGAATCGCGAATACCGATGCAGTCTGTGTTTGTGCCGATATATCTTCTCTGTCCACGATCATCAAGCCGAACGAATGAGGTGTTGACGGCCCCAATAACGCGTGCCTCGTCGGTCAAGTCGTCGAGTAGGAGGCCAAAGGACACCTTGTTCGGCATCGTGATTGTGGTCCCAATGCATGTGTTGTCACGTAATTGCTTCCAGAATATGTTCCCGTCAGTGGTCTGACTGAGGTGAAATTCCCATGAGGCTGAGTTGGCGCGAAATAGGATTGAGTGTATCAAGGGCGATAGTGATTTGGAGATATTACTACCAAAAAGGTAGACATGATACTGAGTCACTGCTGCGTTCGATGGTAACGGGGAGCTGCCGTGAGCATAAGATTGCTTGAGGATATCCATATTTGGTGTTTGTATGGACCAGAAGTAGGATTGGAGGGACGAACGAGAGAAACCATTGAAAATAATACCAACGAATCTAGGAAGACAACTTACGGGAATTTCGATGACCCCGCATTCATATTTGTCGGCATTTTGATATATTGACCGGGATCAAACTGTGAATTATATCTTCTATATAATCAATGTTTAATCCCCACATTGTTTAGGCTCAGAGGCCTTCTACGTGAATCCAAAAACAGTCGTCTTGTGTCTTCAGTATGGCAGAAAGCCCGAAGGTTCGCATCGCTCTTATCGGGGGAGGTACCATAGCTCCTTTGCACGTCAAGCATCTTATGTCTTCACCAACATGTGAACTGGTGGCAATTGTTGATCCGTACCACCCGGGACGCGAATTGGCGTCGAGCTTGTCTCTTCCGCACTTCGAGTCCGTTGCATCACTTTTGAACGCGCTACAAAAGCCACCAGAGGCCTACGTGATATGCGTCCCTTCGAGTCTCCATGTTTCCATAGCGACAGATGTCATCTATCGAGCACGTCCCAAGGCCTTACTCATCGAAAAACCCTTTTGTACAGATTCGAAATCTGGAACCGAGTTACTTGCGCTTGCAAATGAAAAAGGTTGTGGGACACCACCGCAGATTCCATCCCTCGCTGTCAACTACACGGTCGGTGATCGAAACAGGAAAAATTGGGAAGATTACAGCTATCTCGGGATTGTGGACTGCGAAGAAAGATGAAGGCTATTTTACTTCTGCTAGTTGGCGGGCAACACGGTCCGCCGGAGGAGGGCCGATTTGGACAAACTTTGTGCATGATATCGATGCCCTTCATTTCCTCACAGGTGCCAGGATGACATGTGTATGGGCCATAAACACCATACCCAGAAGGAAACACGAAAGTGTGGCGGCCGAGAATATCGTTGAAGAGGGAGCAGCGATTATGGCCCAATTTTCCAACGGAGTTGTTGGCACATTTCTGGTGAGTGACAATGTGGCGAGCCCATACGGTTGGGAGTCTGCTACTGGTGACAATCCTTTGTATCCAAAGGCAGAGATCCCAGTGGATATTTATAGCATCTTGGGCACGAAAGGGACTATCGTTGTCCCCGACAACACTCTTTGGACCTACGACTCGGAGACGACGGGCAGGTATCACCAAGAGGCTGGGTGGAAAACTCCAATGACACGCGTCAAGCTTCCAGTCGCCCAGGGTATTCCATTTCAACAACAAGCAGAACATTTGGCTAGAGTGGTTCGTGACTTAGAAGATCCTATTTGCTCGGCCGAGGATGGACTAGCAGCAGTTTCCGTCTGCGAGGCTATTGTTACAGCTTTGAAGGCTAAGGACGGACTCCCGGTTTCGGTTTTAGACATGTCACATATCTAGTTCTTGTAGAATTAAGGATATCATGCGGTTAACGGTCGTTTTTATTGAAGAGCTTTGAGTTGAAAACTTGGTTGTGCGGGAACTTGAGATTCGTTTAGCTGTCTATACATTGACCTTGTAGTCCCTTAAGTTTGGGGCACTTCCAGAATTTTTTAACAATACAATATAAATCAATTGTTATCTGAATCCTTCTGAATCCTTTGATTGATTAATACATAATACTGTACACCTTCATAAAAATGATAGACTACCCCACTCGGTGCATTAAAAAATACACCGGTTTGTGGAGGTGGCGTCAAGTGGCGTCAACTCAGGTCGGATATTCGAGATATTCGCATCCCTTTCTTGTATTAATTGACGCGACTCATAACCAAAGAGAATCATAAAAGCTACCACACCTGGAACTATGACAGTATCCTGGCCTCCATATAAAGCCAACCCACTGGGTATCGCCACCTTGTCCCTCGGCAGCTGGCGAGAGCATCGTTTGGAACCACGCTTGAAAGCCGCGGCTGAATCGGGATATCAATGGATCGACTTATTTGATGAGTGTTGGGCTGCATACCTGGAGGAACATGGACTGCCAGGAGACCAGCTTTGGGAACCCACTTCAGAGAATCTGCAGATTGCTCAAAAATTGGCTCGTCTTGTCAAGTCCTTGGGAATGCGGATTGCTTGCACCCAGCCTCTTCGGAAAATCGAAGGAATCAAAGATCCAACAGAACGCCAGGCTACCTTCGATCTAGTCGCCAAGTGAGATATACCTTACCTCGATAATGACATAGCGGCGATCTATACTAACCTACTACATAGACGGTTTCCCTTCATGCGTGCCTTTGACACCGATCTTGTCTTCATGTGTGCGAATATTCGCGCGGATGAGGGTGTGACATCTGATCTCAAGACAGTGGCACGGGATCTCGCGGAACTGGGCGACATGGCGGCCGCATACGCAAAGGCCGACGGTGGGCGAATGTTAAAAATTGGGTACGAAGGCTTATCTTGGGCGACTCGAAACACATGGTCGGCCTCATGGGAAGTGGTGCGATTTGCCAACCGCCCCAACGTTGGACTGATCGTGGATGCCTTCAATATACTCGCCGTCGAGTTTGCTGATCCGTACAATGTTGCTGGCCACGGGCGGATCTACCCAACCTTGGAGGAATCTCTAGATGTTCTTACCGGGTCACTCGCGTCATTGGTGTCGACGGTACCGGGTGATCGGATATTTTTCTTCCAGTGTGGCGATGCGGAGTTGATGAACCCAGCGACTTTCCTTCCTCCAACTGACCCAGATACACCAGCACTGCTTCCATGGTCGCGAAGTCATCGGCTGTATCCTATGGAGCAGTCAAGAGGTGCATATATGCCTGTTGAGCTTGTCGCAGCTGCTGTGCTCGCCACCGGGTACCGAGGCCCAATCTCGCTTGAGGTGTTCAATGCATCACTGAATCAACCAGGACAAATGATTCCGGAGGAGCATGCTTTCAGAGGAATCAACGCTCTTCGCCTCTTATGCGAAACTACAAAGTCCATTCCGGCGTTTTGGCAAAGTCACGGTGAACGTAAGAGTGCTATCGCACAAGTAGTACGACGGCTAGAGCCACATGAACACAAATACAAGCTATGAAAAAGAGCATATATATTTTGAACCCTGCTGAATATGATCAATTATATATACCGGAGTTGAGAGCCTCCTTTTGCACTAGTATTAATGCCGTGTCCAATACCATTTGTTTGAACTTTGCGAAGCAGTAATCGTGCCAGGCGCCCACTGGTACCCCAGTCAACGATAATTTTCGCTGAACGATAAAATTGCAAAATCAGGTACCTTTTGTATAGTATACTAATACAAATGGTACCTAAAATAAAAAACTCTTAATATCCATTTCCTCGATCCCCTACTAAGGTAAGGGAATAATAGGTCCATATATATGTAGGGGATTGTATCAGGCAGGCATAAATTGACCGCCTACTATAAAGACTCACTGTTCCTTTGGCCGCTTCCCATTTTGCAACTTGTGAGCATTTTTTACTATGTAAACAACAATTCAAACACACAGAAACAAGTATGGCAGGCAGAAAATTCAAGAAACGACAGAAATAGCTGATGCCTAAAATCTCGGGCAGGTGAGGTCCCTGATACAATCCCCTACATATATATCTCCGCAATGCACGAGGACATTGGTTTTCTGGTACAACGGGTATTCGAATATCGAGTTTCAGATAGCATAGTAAAAGCGACGTCACATGTACAAGCTCGCCTTTCTTTCCAAAGGCATCTCATTTGATGACTTAAGCCGTATTTTCAATTTGATGCACTGACAACTTCTCGTCGGAAGTGTGTGGTAATCTGAAGTCCGTGTCAAATAGAGCGTCAATTTCTTCCAAAGTTCTCCCGGTCGGCTATTTGATATTGAGTTAGCAAGATCGCTCTCTTGGGTTTCGATGGTAGAGTACTCACATCAGGGCACATGAAATAGACGAAGCCAAAACCCAGCACGTTGAAAATAAGGGGCCAAATCCATATCTTCCCGCCGGATGTTTCGAGCCCGATGCCGCCAGCAATTACTGTCACAAAACTGAATAGCCACTCGCCGAACAGGCCAACTGCGGCTCCGATGTGGCGATACTTGAGGGGAGCGATCTAGGGATATTCAAGTCAGATTAGGCGTGCCGAGCACAGTGAAGAATCATACCTCGGGTCCATATAGCCTAGAATAAGTGTCAACTTTATGCATTGCAAATTTGAGAGCTTTGAATGCTTACCACGGACAGGTAACCCACCCCCAGCCGTACATGAACATATATGGGAACATCATAGCAGCGGCTGCCCATTGGGTCTTTTCCGTCTTACTAGGAAGACCATTTAAAACCACGAAAACAAGCATACAGCAGCTCTGAACGGCAGCTGCAACCAGCATGATTCGACGCCGGCCAATCCTCTCAATTGTAGGAATAGTGACCAGCGAGCCTGTAAATTGGACTGTCAATGCAACAGCAGAAATGAGCGACGATAAGAAGCTCGAGAGGCCGACGTTCGAAAATATTAGGGGCATATAGTAAACCATGATATTAATTCCCATTATTTGTTGAATGGATAGGATGATAAACGATATCCTTATCCGACGGCCAACACGGAGCGGGGTGTTGTCCCAAACAAGGCTTAGCCAGCCGAGTCGGTTCTCTTGTTCCGCCTCAAGCTGGAGGTTCTGCATAATCTCAGCTCTTACAAGCTCCATGGAAGCACTCTCGGGTTGAGCACTATTGTCAACACGATAGACATTGTATAGTCTTGCCAGGGTGATATCGCCTTCAGCAGTTCGCCCCTTTGCATAATACCACCTTGGTGAGTCCGGACAGAAGAAAATGCCAGCTGCTGAAAAGAGAGCAAAGATGGATTGGATGGAAACAGGCAACCGCTTTGACAATTCAACTATTAGTTCACAGTTTCAGCGACGAGAAATTTATAACCTTACCCAGGATAGCTGATTTGACATTCTTGTGAATCCAAAGTCCGCCCAGTAAGATAAAGCGATACCTGCGAGGAGCGAAGAGCAGTTGATCGCTACCTCGGGGCCGCGCTCATTGGCATGAATACTCATCTCAGACTAGATCATTGCATCAGATCAGTTGTAGTTGTCAATAAGAGGAGGAACGCTCGTACCATATACATAGGGACATTGCAAGTAATAAACTGCGAGAGACGTCAGAAAGGGAATAGTCTCGTAAGCTGCACTTGTCTTACCGCGATACCGAAACCCTGTTAGGTAGCCATATGTTAATTTCGAATTCGGGACACGTCGATAAAAGGGCACAGACTTACACATATGACCCGAGCTACGATAATTTGTGCTACCGAGTATGACGCTGCCTGAATGATGCCACCGAAGAATATCAACACCGTGCCGAGTAGGATTGAATTTCGGCGGCCTAGAGGCATACCCACAACCACCACCACAATAGACATTACAGTAGCTGCGAGTGTGTAGGAAGATGCGATCATTGGGATTATCTCCGTCCCTTCAGGGTTCTTTCCGAAGGTCAGCAGAGAAGATACAATACTGGTTGGAGGCAGCTTACTCCGAGTGCATCACGGTATGGTTTGGTATCTTGCACTCCTCCGAGAATTCCAGCCTGGTAACCCTCAATAAGAAAGGCCTGGCTCATTGTAATTAGGGGTAGTTCTCATTGGGCTTGATCAATATGTGGGTGGACACACCAAAGAACAACTCAGCCGGGCAAGAAGGCGAAGTCTTTTGCCCTGGATGGATTCTTCAAACATGATATTCAATGTAGCCAAGACCTCTAGATCAGTCGACTGGATCCTAGTTGATATTGCAAAGTAGTACTTTTACATCTAGATATGCAGGATAGATGCAGCTTTATACATTCTGGGTTCTAGTTGCGGGAGTCAAGCATCAGCATCTGTGGAAGTTGGGTTCCACAGTCAATATCCAACTAATTCCATGAATTTAATCATAATGGAGAATATAAATTTCAATATGGTAGAAAATGTAGTATGAAACAATCCGTGCTCCCCGCTTGATGCTTGACTAGGATACCGGGGTATTTTTGAATTGACCGGAGCCGGGCTGTTCGACTGACAAGCCGGATATGCACCTTAGAAGTCAGGAATATAGGTGCCCATGCCCAGTGATAAGCTCATATTTCATCTGGAGTGTTGAAAACTAAAAGAATGAATGTCACAATTTGCCATTCTGGAGTTTCCATATTATCATCTCGATAATGTTCCAATTGTAATTCAAGTAATCTTCAAGGCGACAATAGGGGAGAAATCCATAATTAAATCTTATTTTATCGTGCGACTGTTTCTTGGATATTGTAAATACTGCAGAGGGTTCAAAGCGGCCACGACAAGGCTTGACGAGGCTTATCTTCGCTTTAAGTTGGTTTCCAAGAAATGGCATGGCAAAATCCGTATGTGATATGTGGGATCCACTCACTTTTCAGTACTGAACCCGCAGGCTGCATTCATTATATGGAAGTTCTCAAATTCTTCCCTTTTATTATACAAGTCTCCGAATCTGCTAATTCTTAGTTAGTTAGTTAGTATAATAACCGACTAATTATATACTGTTAATGATGCTAGCTCCTCTTATATATTAAATTGGGTTGAATATGTTAAGATACCGAGTTAAATACCACGCTAAATCTAGGTGGAGTTGGGCGACAGTTGGTACTAATATATACTAGCGTGTATTCTTTCGTTTTATGTATTTAGTAATTTGTTTCCACAATTCTTCGTTCAATTTAAGAAGAGGCGCAAAAGGATGAGCAGGTTTAGTCTCAAAAGATTGAACTCATTTTGGGATGGTCATAGTTCACTTAGAGCTTCGAGGCTCTTGAAAATCTATCTTTGGCCCACCCCATATTGCCCCATGTTGCCCCATGTTGCCCCCGGGTCTAAGATGCAGTTTTAGTGCCATAATCTTTCCGCTGGATTCCGAAGTAGGAACTGCATGTTTTTATTTTCCTTTTCATTTTCTCGCTCTAACTATCGCATCTCTAATATCCCTAATTATTAATGCATCACTACCACCATGACGACGAATATTGACTAAACCACTTCCTACAAACCACGACCTGTCTTGAAAATGCACGCCATTGTGCAAAAATGCCGGCACTTATTCCGGACTTCTCTAAAGCGCAGTCTCGTTGCAATCGCTCTCGTCATTGCATTTACAATTTTCATGCTTATACCTCGGTCAAGGGAGCAACCTTTAGCAATCCATGCTTCAAGGTATGTCCTTTCACCTGTCCTGACGTCCAAATCGCATGATAGCGAACTTTGACCCGGTCGCTAACACGCTCATCTTTTTACAGTCGAAAAAATGCCTTTTTTCTAGGCTCAGGGCCTGCTTATGATGGGGGTGGTCTCGGTCAGCTTGTATTGAAAACTTCGCACGAATCATCGTCCATACCCTACGACCCGTATCCTGAATATAACAGCGGCGAATGGAACAACACGTGGAAGGGAACCTATCAGCAATGTGTTGGCCCAAATGGTTCAGTCCTGGATCGTAGGGACGCGGAAACAGCGATGAAAGGATTTCACTGGAATCAGTCAGGTCTGAATTGAGCCAAACCTATTCTGGCGCATTGAGTTGAGCACTGATAGCTTTCTAGATTTTCCAGCGCCAATATTTGGATCGTACGAGGCGTGGAATCTCAATCGGAGTTTCTGCGTCGACCGATACTCTCGATATGGAGCATACGGCTACGGAGATCAAGCACACAAAGTACAGTGGCAGGACGTGAATTGGGCCACTTTGCAAAAAGACTGCTTGCAGCGCAATGCAGACCGGTATCAACCTTCGGATATTCGCGAGAAGACATCGACTCTGCACAGGGAGCAAGAGGAAGGAACAGCGAAACGTCATGAGAGAGAGAAGAGAGAGACAAACCGAGACCATACCTCTGCTATCTTCAAACCACGGATAGCTGTGGTTCTGCGCACATGGCTCGACATGGAATACACGAATGATGATCTTTATTATATCCGGTCGATTATAATGGAGCTGTCGCTCTTATCAGGCGCAGAATATGAGGTGATCCTCTTGGTTGATGCGAAAGACACTGAATTGCCTTATCCAGCGGACTTGGACAGTCTTAAAAAGTCTCTTCCGCTAGAGCTCCGGGATCTGGCAGTGTTCTTCAACTCAGAGATACTGGAGGACTGGTACCCAATGATCGGTATTCACGAGTAAGATTTATATCCTCTCTATAGTAACTTCAAGGCGTTGACCCATCTCTAGAGCCATGCTTCAATACTTCCAGCCTATGCAGATTTTCTCACGATTGAACCCACAATATGACTTTTTCTGGCAGTTTGAGATGGATTCACGTTATACGGGACATTTCTACGACCTTCTCCAGCAGGCAACGGAGTTTGCAAAACAACAGCGTCGCAAGAATCTATGGGAGCGCAACTCTTACTTCTATATGCCCGCTATCCACGGGAGCTGGGACAATTTTACCGATCAGGTAGATCAGAGCATGACGGGCGTTGATAGTATCTGGGGACCACGGCCAGCAAAAGGCATCGAGGCTTGGGCTGAAGCACCAGAGCCACCGCGCGCAGATATGGAAGATGAGTCTTGGAGCTGGGGCGTGGGCGAGGAAGCTGACTTGATCACCTGGCTGCCACAATTTGACCCTCAGCATACTGACTGGCTTCTTACTAACCGTATATATAATTTCCGGCAGAGGGGAAGCACTCCGCGCCGGGCATCTGTTGTCGCGATGTCCCGTGTCTCGGCCCGATTACTTCGCCTTATGCATAAGGATACGACTGAGAAAGGGTTGGGACTAGCATCTGAAATGGGCCCTACCTCCTGGGCTCTTTATTATGGATTGAAAGCCGTTCAAATTCCTCAGCCCATTTACCATGCGCACGAAACAAGTCCTGTTGAGCTCAATCTCCGAGCTAATTCAGGCAAGCCTGGTAAAATCAGCGCTGGGCGGAATAGTATCTGGAACTGGAACCAGCACAATGATATCATGATGAAAATATCATACATGTATGGGTCGCAATTTGCCGGAAAGATTTATCGAGCTTGGCTAGGTTACGATGGTGCAGACGACGTGAGTGGTTTCGCTGGTCCCTTGACTTTTCTGTTGAAATTTGCTGACACTACACGGAAAGCATGATCATAGTGATCTCTGCCTGCCTCCGATGTTCTTACACCCCGTGAAGAATACCAAAAAATAGTTGGCTGTCATGGCATGCATGTGTTAAGGATTCATCCTGGTGGGTTCCGAAAATTTGTACAAAACTTTCCCTTTACATAGACTTATCAGAAGAAGAAAGCGGCTCTCGTCTGAAATTTAATGTATAAAGAAAACCGAGGATCGCTCGCCCCTTCACGGCGTCATCTTTGCATCGTTCCTCTCAAACCCAAGATTCCAACGCTTTTCTACATCTAAACTAAGCCCCACGCGGGCTCATCTGGTGCCTATTTGGGAAATTTGGGAGCTTGACCTTTCTCTGTATAGCTCATCATCAATCGTACAGTCATTTAAGTCATAATGTTTATCACTAGAACTCCAAGTTTATATCTAAACCAGCCCAGACAAGGGAGGGTGGATGCCGAGGTCGGCGAGCTTCGCCGGGCGATCACCTCATACATATTAATCAGCTTGCACAGGTGACGTCGAGACATCTTCACCCCGCCATTTCCAAAACCTCAACTTTTTCTTACATATCTCTCATCTCTAATATCCACAATAATCCCAATATGACTACACTCAAGCCCGGCGACTCATTCCCCAGCGACGTTGTCTTCAAGTGGGTAAATCCCGACCCCCTCAAAGAATGATGCTGATTCCTCCAGGTACATTCCATGGAGCGAGGAAAGTGGTGAAATTACCTCCTGCGGCATCCCTATCGACTACAATGCCTCGAAGGAGTGGGCCAACAAGAAAGTTGTCCTGTTCTCAGTTCCCGGTAAGTTGATGTTCATGTCACCCTGTAGCTGAAGTCGGACTTTGTTAACGTGAGTGTGAACAAGGTGCCTTCACCCCAACCTGCTCTATCAACCACGTGCCAGGATATATCCACAACCTGCCCAAGCTCCGTGAGAAGGGGGTTGACATTGTCGCCGTCGTTGCTTTCAATGATCCGTTCGTTATGAGTGCCTGGGGCAAGGCGAACGGAGTCCGCGGAGATGACATAGTGAGCAGCACAACCCCGCCCCACACATTTCTGCGACCAGTATTGATTTTGCAAAATAGCTTTTCCTCACCGATCCCGATGCCAAGTTTTCTAAGAGCATTGGCTGGGCCGATGAGACGTCGGGCCGTACGGGCCGCTATGCGATCGTTATCGATCACGGTAAGATCGGCTATGCCCAGATCGAGACCGAAAGGGGTGTTGTGAAGGTATGGAATTTTAACCTTCGTTTTAGCGATGTATGATGCTAATAGCTCTACAGAAGTCTGGTGCCGATGCGGTTCTTGCTTCCCTTTAAGTACACGAACTATAGAATACCCTCCGATCACTTCCAATCCAATCGCAAATGATATATTAGAAGCGTGTTTCTTTATGAAGTGTTGGCCTACAAAAATACACAATATAAAATTTCGAACACGCTCTGCGGCCTGGGTCAGTGTATTCGTTAAGAATAATTCACATTTTCGGCATGATA